GGCAATAATGAAAAGAAACAACTCGCGCGAAGCTGGACAATGAAGACGAATTGGACGCGGAAGTCAGTCGAAGTCAGTCATGGAGGCTGCGCAGAAGGTGATGCGGTGGTGGTGATGGGGCGGCTGAGCGGCTGATGGGGCGACACGGCACCATCACCGCGCTCCCCACCAACATCCCGCCCTTCCACCTCCCTCCAAGCGATCAGCACTGATTTGTCTTCCATAGTCATGAGGCTTTGCGTCCTCGAGATTCGTCCACGGGAAACGACTTCCCTTCTTCGATTTCTCGCTTTCTCCGGTCGAATCCTCCTCTCTCCCCTCCCCTTCCTCTTTTCCTACCCTGAGGCGTCATGGGGGATTTGCATCAGAGTCGTCTGGAGCGGGCTTCACGCTCTTTTGTCCGAAAATGCAAACGAGGTCGCATAACGGCCATGATATTGGAATTTGAAGAAGTTGACCAGCGTCAACCGACTTTGACTCCAGAGAGCTCAAAATAAAAGCAGGAGAAAAAGGGGGAAGCAGGAGAGTGGCCCATGCATTCTTTTCCCGTGTTTTTTTGTTTTTGTTTTTAATAAGTCATCCCAGAGAGGCACACATTTAGCCAGCAGCAGAGCGCGCGTGAGACAGCTCCGGAGCTCGCTCCGGAGCCTCTCCAGAGCCCTGCTCCAGAGCCAGGCCCCAGCGGGCCAAGGTCTCGACCTGCTATGTTTTACACTTCATTAGCCGGCCCTGCCCCAGCCGAGCTCTTACCCAAATCCAGCGCCCCGACTGCCGCATAGCTCCGTGCTCACACGTGTGCGAGAGGGAGAGTGGGAAGGAGACAGAGGGAGGAAGAAAGAGAGACTCTCTCTTTTCTGGAGTTTCGAGGGGCACGCATGTTTCCCACCCAGTTTCTTCCCGTTGTGTGTTTTGGTCTGCTCCCGCGCCACGCCCCTGCCTTGAGCCTCGGGTCGCGCTTGTTATGCAACCTGTCTCCCTCTTGGAGCCAACATTTTCCAGCGCGGTGCTGCGTTTGCTGCCGCCGCTGCTGCACGGCGCGATGGAGCGCGGACTGCCCCAAGGATGACAATTAAATAATGAGATTCCTTGCTCCAAAGCGCTTGCGCGTCAAGTTTCGCGCAAAGCAGCAGCAGCAGCGCGTCACACCTGAGGAGGAGGGCGGAGGATGACAAACGTCTGCCAGCCCCGTACCGTGGCCATTGTCAGGGAGGCATGGGTCCCGGCTCGGCGTTCCCCAGCGGCCAAATTAAATTATGCGCCTCAAGAGGACGGCGGCAAAGATTTCCTCAAGATACAACACGACGGTCCATCTTATCATTGCTATTCGACTTTTCCCGTGTTATTTCCACCCCGCAGCTAAGCTAGAGCTCCTCCGACCCCCTCCTTTCTAGGGGGTAGAGCTCGTTGGGACCACCTCGGGCGTTCGCGGGGCCTGGCCGTAGGCTGACGGCAGCTGCGGCTCGCAAAGCCCCCGCAGCTCCCTGGCCGAAGCCCCGGCGCGGCGGGCGGGGCTGCGAGCAGGAGCTGCTGCTAGGCCAAGCGGCGGCGGAACTCAACTTTCCCTGCACTTCGACCCTCGTTTCCGCTCTAGGAATCCTCGTCTCGTTCAACCCCGTTCTCTCTGCGCTCCCCTCCCCCCTCCAGCCGCCTGCCTCTCCCTTTCTAATTATCTCTTCCGCGCAGGGAAAGCTGCCAGACGCAGCAAAAGCGCGGGAACATTCAAGTTTAACTCGAAAAATGCTTCTCCCGCGCAGACATATTTTCATTAATTTTTCTTTTGGTTTGAAGTTTTCATTAGTAACAAGCATAAAAATGCAGTGCACCACGATCTTCACCACACGGGCTGCTGCTACGAAGGCGGCAGTTCTGTTGTTACTGAAAAGCCCCCGGCCGCGCATACGCACCACGGGCACGGCTAGGCCCCCGCATCGCCCAGCCTCACCACGCCAAATAAGCCCAGGGCTTATCCAGACTTAGACAAACTCGGCACTGGAACTGCAAACCAAACGTGGGAGAGCAAGGGGGGGGGGGGACAGGGGAAAAGGGGGGAGGAGGTGGTGGGGTGGAACCGTTGCGTTGGTAAGAGCAGGCACAGGGGGTGGTGTTACAGAGCAGAACACAAGGGGGAGATTGGCTCGGCAGGGCGGGCGTTGTGGGGCAATAGTCTCTACGTTTTGGTTGATAGGCCAGGGTGGGATGGTGGAGGGGGTGTGGGGGGTACCTCCTCCTGCCACTGAGGCTCAGATTCCCGGGGTGTATCACGTTTCGTCCCGCAAGCGTTATAGGTAAAGGGGGGGGGGCGAAGCCAACGCGGGATTATTACAATATTAGGTAACACTAGAGCTTCCTTTTCGAACAAGCACAATGAAACCAGAATGAATTCGGCACACCAAAATAGTTCGTCTCGTCTTTTATAAATCGCCTGGCCTCCCACGATTGGACGGACAGTACGGTTGCCGCAGGCGTAACCAATAAAGGCAAGCTAGGACGGGGGCGTCGCTCGTCATCCCGAGAGCGGTGCAATGGAAACGGAAATAAATTTTATAATATACCGTCGGAGTGGTCGGAGTTATCGAAGGTGTTTCTTTGACTGATTGAGTGAGTGATGAGTGAGAAAGTGAGTGATGAGTGAGAGAGTGAGTGATGAGTGAGAGAGTAATGAGACAGAGAGAGGAAGAAAGATCTCTCACATTACAAGCACGTGTGCACCAATCCTTTTCCCTGGCACGCTAATGTGTTCCAAAGCGTCAGCTTTACAGACTGAGGTTGGATAAAGTAATCATCTGCATCTGTGCCACATGAGAGGGAAGCCTGCAACAGACGTTGTTCAGCTGGACGCGAGAGACAGGGAAAGCGAGAAAGAGAGAGAGAGAGATAAATAAGAGAAAGGAAGAGGGGAGTATTATGTAACGTCATGATGCTGAGCGGTCTCACGCTAAGCGTCAGCCACTTCCCTCCCCCCAGCCCCTCTCTCTCTCAATGCCGTGCGATATTTTAAACTCGCGGACGACAGATTTTACGAGGAAAAGGGGAGAGTGGGGCTGGCAGTTGACCCATGCCATCAGTCTCGCTCTATACCCCCTGCTTTGATGAAGAGTGGCACATCGTGGAACGGGTAAGGGGCACGCTCCAGCCCCCTCCCTGCGGTCCCCGCCGGTCCCCGCCGGTCCCCGCCGGTCCCCGCCCACTGCACCGTGCCCCCCCGCTCATAGATGACACGCCTGGCCGCGCGCCAGCCGCGCCAGCACCCGCGACAAATGCCTCCGGCAATCGGGCCCGCTGTGTGCAGACCGCCGCCCTTCCGACGCGATCGACGAATGAGGGGCAAACGCATTTTAAGCTACTTACGCCGCCCGCCCACCCTACCCGCATGTACTGCAAGAAAGTTATTACGGAGTTTGTTCATCATGCGGGTAAGTGATAAAAAGTAAAAAAAACAAACAAATCAAACAAAATAACCAAGATTGGCAGAAGTGG